AAGCCACCCACCAGGCTTAGACTCCCTCGTCCATGCTGATAACAAAAGGCAGCAGTTCTCATCCTGTGTGGAAACATGACTCATGTTCTTTTTGTTAAAGTACAGACTTGCTGGATCCCCATCTCTAGGGCCTCCCCCCTGGGACCTTCAACACCCTTCTACTTGAGGGATGCTCCTTCTCCGTTACCTACCTTACATACCTCTTTTTTCCCTCCCTTTTCCCTCCTTCTTCTGCCCACATGCTCTGCTTCTCCCCTGCCTAGACTGACTCCCCAGCAGTCCCCATGGGCAGGTTTTAGCCACTACTGGTCTCTGGATCAAGAACATCAGGACATCCCGTGCACTTACCCACTTGCTTTCAATCCCCTGAACTCTTGCCTAGGAGTTTACATACCTGGCAAGTCCTCAGTCTCTGTGAGGTGCCAGAAGGCACAATTTGCTAACTTTGGAAACTATGTTATTGTACATCAGGGGCACACACTCTCTGCCCTCACATTGTGCCTGTATGTGTGCCATCTAGGTTCCTGCCTTCGCAGTTTCCACTTTGCCCATGACAGTCAGCCAGCAGTGCTGCCCACCATAGCCCCAGGCAAGTCCTAACACCTGAGCCAGTCATGGGCTAGCCACCATCTTCCTGTCGCCACTGTCTTCCTCTCAGTCGGCCCACTATCCCACCTGTTGGGCAGTAGTCCTGGGAGTGTAACTTTCCCTTCACACTGGAGTTGGTCTGATCCCTTTGATTGGGCCTCTTTCTGCCTTAGTCTCTGAGCTTCACATGCCTGCTCCCGGCTTAGCTAGGTACCAGGCTCCTAGCGTCATGGGTGTGGTGAACCCCAACTCCGGCTGCCAGGCTCCACCTGCTGTTCCACATTTCCTCAGGTACTCCCTGGTTCCCAGACCTCACCTGAGCCTGTTCTGCCTTGGACAATTGTTCTAGTGTCCTCATCCTCAGGTTCCACCATGCCCAGCCTGTGCAACTTGGCCCTGGCTCCAGAGCCCACCCAGCTTGGTCCTGGGCAGGACCATGAGGTTCTTACATGCATGTCCTGAGCCAGCTGGGCGGCTGGCCTGTGGAAGTGTCGCTGTTCTGATGGCCTGCCCTGCAGGCCCCGCACTGCTGAACCCCTCCAGAGACATGAGGAATGGCCAAATCTGAGTCGAAGGGGCTGCCCTCTCACCGTTGTCAGCCAGCAACAAACGGAGATTCTTCTGCATTTCACACCCCCACTTCTATCACCTACTTTCACTCTTGCCACAGATTAACTTGTTTTCTTTTCATTTCCCAAATATCTATTGAAAACCATTCTCTGATGATAATGACAGCAAACACATATTGAACTCTTACTGTGTAAGGCACTGTTCTAAGCACCTTACCTGTACTGCTTTGTATCATCCTCACAACTTTGAGATAAGAAACATGATTATCTTTGTTTAACATGAGTCAACTGAGGCACAGAAGTAAGGAACTCGCCCAGTTATACGTAAGTGACAGAGCTGGGGCACTGCTTACAGCCCGTGCTCCTTACCGCTACACTTAACACGGAGCCATGATCTCAGGCTTCCTGGCACTTGGGCTCTCAACTACTTGCCCAGCTCTGACCCTTACTCTTCTAGAAGTTTCTTGACATTTGTCTCCTTATTCTGGTCCTAACCCCCATGTCTTCTCTTCTGGTTCTGGCTATCTTGTCCTCTGTTGCCTTCAGCCTGGTGGAGGGGAGATAGCTAACCAAGGACTACAGACTTACATTGGGTAATCTGCAAAGTGCATAATCCATGTACTTGTGTGTTGACCAAAAATCCAACTACAGACTTCCTTCCAGGTCCATTTTCTGGGTTCTCTCCCATCTTGCTGGGTCACCTCCACTCAGTAGCCCCCACTCCTGACCCCATCACAACTAAAAGCAGCATTCTGACCCTCCTTCCTCCCTCTTCTGCAGCCAGGTCCCCTGCAGTCTCTGCACCCATCATTACAACTGCTCAAGAGCTGGCTTCTGCTTCAGCAAATGCTGTAGGTTGTATGATTGCCATCTTCCTGAACCAGGCCCAGAGCTGAGGACCCAGCAGGGTCACCTTCAGAGGATAGGTTTGTGGCCTACTGAAGAGCCTTCTAACAGCTTCAGCCTCCCCTCACTCAGCCCACTTCAAGCAGCTGGGTCATGAAGAAGGGAACTTGCTATTTAGAATGGAATCAGAGAGAGCTGTCAGCAGGACATAAATATTCATAGAAAGAGGTTAGAACTTGAGTCCCTGAAACGTTGATTTGTGTTCATCTGTTTAAGCCTCATTAAAAGGTGGCAAATGAAAGTAGGGATATTCGGTGGAACTGCAGATAAATCGGGCTTGTTCAGATAAAGGCCCCCAACTGCCAGCTCCACAGGCCCTGCCTAGAGCGTGATGACACATTGGCTTGGCCACTTGTGGTTTGCCAACCTCAATTTTAAGATTTTGCTTAGCTTAAAATCCTAAGCAAAGTTCCTGGCCTTGTTCTGGGGCAATTACCACTTGTTTGGGCAACTGGTAGTCTTCTAGAGGTGTTTACGGATGGAAATCCCCAACCTGCTCCCTCCCCAGAATGACATGCAAACCAGGGCCTGGCCCAAGCGGCAGCAGGGAGAAATCTAACCTAGGAGTGAGACTTGCATTGGATAATCTGCAAAGTGCATAATTTATGTGCATGTATAGTTGCTGCTGCTTCTGTCTTCCAGCTTCTGTGGGCACAAGGGGAGGGTTTCAGACTCCAGTTGCTATGAGACCTAAACCATCTGTCCCCAGCCCCTTGGTCCCACCCATGCTCAACCCCACTTTTCTGGCTGAAAAGACAAAGACTGCAGCAGACCAGGCCTTTTGATGGGCACAAAGAAGAAAAAGATGGCCACTGTGCCTTCTAGGACAGGAGGTGAAAACTCAGGCATCCTCAGGGACCGGGCAGGTCATGGGCACCAGAGGGGAATGGACCAATCTGTGGACTAGACGACCTGTGTGCCACCATTTTGCGCCATCTAGAGGTAAGATAAGAGTTGGGGAAGAGCATAGAATATGCTCAGCCTCGTGAGAGGAGGGCTGACCTGCCAGGGGGAGGGTGGTGCCCCTCCAGTCAAGGGCAGCAGGGAAGGCCTTGTGGAGGAGGCAGAGCATCAAGAATTAAGCTTTAGTTGGGGCCCAGTGTGGGATTTGGTACCCTGATTGTGGTTTCTACACCTGGGATGGAAGCAGGAAGTCTCAGGGTCCTGAGGTGCTGGGCCGTGTGTGTGCTGGGGAGTGTTGCTGTGAAGGGCAGACTGCACAGTAGCCTGAAGCTCTGGCATCAGGCTGCTGCTGCACTTCCCTGAGCCTGTCTCCCCTGTGTTCATTTCCCTGCTGTGCAGGTTCCAGGAAGGCCACTGGCCACCCCAGGGACAGCCCCATCTCCTGGCTGGGGCTGTTTCCCAGGACAGCGCTCCCTTTGGGTGCCCATTAGAGAAATGACACAATTAACCAGGCAATTAACTCAAATCTCTGCAGTTGCTCCTTCCCACAGGGCCCTGCTTACAGAGCTGGTGTTGGCAGTAGCTCGGGCTGCATAGAATGGGGTGATGGTGTATCATTTGAGACAGGCCTCAGGAAGCAGAAAAGTGGCTGACCCAGAAGTGGCTGAGATGGGTGCTGGCCAGGGAGAGGGCCAGAAGGCTCAGAGACTTTGAATGCTACTCTCCTGACACCTAGCTTCAGAATGCCTGCCTGGGAGGCAGGAACTCTTACTTGCAGTCATTGATTACTGCCCCTGCAGGGGGCAACTCCATAAAGGAATGGTCAGAGAACTGGCTGGAACCAATAAGGAGAGGGGTGTCCCACTCTGACTCCTCAGGCCATTCCATTTGGGGGGGCCCCATTCTACCATTTGTGAAGTAGAGGTTATATTTGCTATCCCTCTCAGGGATGTAGATGAGTGTAGTCAGAGATAGAAAATCAAGCATCATGGGGCTCTAAGGTGTTATTCAATCAGCTGCTTTAGGGACACAGAGCCCTTCAAACCCTCCCATCCACCAAAATCTAGGCTCCTGTCAGCAGGGCTCCAGAGCAGGCCTAGGCCAGAGAGATGGTCAATTAGACACCTGGAGACTAAGAGATGGATGGACAGGGAGATTAAACTTTCAATGCCAAATGCACGACACCAGGACCCAGGCTTGGACAACCCAGTCTAGGCTTTTATAAAGCATTTTCCCACAACTCAAATATTCCCCAAGAACACATCTCTGAAACTATATACAAGTGGAAAAACATTCCTTTGGCAACCAACCTTTCAGGAGCCTAGCTATTTTGCCATACAAATTATAGCCACCTTGATGATAGGCAATGTTTTTGCATAAGAACCAAGTCAGAAAGAAACAGAAGTGTTTTTGAGCTGTGCTTTTTTCACTCAGTAATTTTTATTGGTTCTCACAGAAAAATGTATATTCCTAGGTTATTAAGGTGAAATGTATCAATAAGAAAAACACCTCTGCTGTTTGGCCCCTAGATGTCTAATCTCCTGCTCTCACATGTGTGCAGTGCTTTGCAAGCCACTGAGCCTTCTCACAGCATCTCACTGCATTCTAGGATACAACTGTGGGGCAGGCCCTGCCACCTTCAGGGCTCTGGTTGCTCCTGTTGTGAGCCCAACTTGGGTGTTACACTGGGGACAGAGCTGACGGAGGAGCTGCTCCTCTCTGCCCCCAACTCGTGTTAGCCCAGAGGGTCAGGACAGCTGTGAGACCCTGAGTGGCACCCATGGCCATTTCCAGTGGGGTTCAGGCTGCTGCCTTGTGCAGCTCAGAGCTGAACCCTCATGGATGTAAAGGACAGCAAAATAAAGAAGCTCCAGAGAAGGCTGCCTGAGTGCCCTGCCCAGCAAGAATTAAAATGGCCTGGGGTAGGGTGTTGGAGAGGAACCTGTTCAAGAAGACTCCTAGGGGCTCCCTCCACCCCCAATGTTTTGAAAGTTAAAGGCTCTACAGCCCATGTCTGTCTGCTGTATATTTCAGATCGATGGGCTAGAGGAGAAGTTGTCCCAGTGTCGGAGAGACCTGGAAGCCGTGAATTCCAGGCTCCACAGGACAGAGCTGAGCCCAGAGGCCAGGTAATGCTCCCACCCAGCCACCCCACCCTTCCCCTGCCCCTTGTAACTGTCCTGGGTTCCCAAAGTGAACTAGGCCCGAGTCAGGAGCGTCTGGATCCCTCTACCACCCACCCACTCGAGACCAACCTCAGCCCTTAGCCCTTGTTCACCTTGTCCAACCTGCTCTGGTGTGTTAGCCACCCCTCAGGTAGGAAAACAGAAAAGGGCTGTAGCTATAAAACTCCTTCCCTCCCTTATAGGAAGTCTCTGGAGAAGGAGAAAAACAGCCTAATGAGCAAAGCCTCCAACTATGGTAAGAAAGTTCTCTTCCGTTACCAGCCCCAACCTTCAGTCCCCAGGGTTGGGAGGGATCACACAGTCCAGGGAGCCTGACAGGTAGCAGGAGGTGTCAGAAACCTGCTGTAGGCCAGGCAGCTGGGAGAGCAGGTTTGTTCCTTTGTTCTGAGAGTGGAAAGACGGTCCGTGGGTCTGTCTGCTCCCTGGATTAAGGGGTGTAGCTGCAGGTCCAGAAGAGACTCTCACGTCCGCCCAGACTTTGGAGGCCTGTCCTCCCCACAACCCATCCCTCCACTCCCTCACAGGGGGACCCTGCCACAGAAGTGGGGATGTGGGGATGAAGGAGGACAAACCTTCCTGGACCTGGAAGGGCTCCTGTGGGTGGAGCAATACTGCCCCCTTCTGGGTACCGGGGGCAGAGCCAGGTAGAATCCAGGCAGGGTGAGGAGCTGTAGGGTGGCTGGTGGGCACTACCTGTCCCCAGAGGCCAGGGAGAAAAACTACAGGAGGCTCCTCAGACTTGTCTATTCTTTTTTCCCCTGTGGGGGCAGGCCCGACCAATAATCAGCCCCAGAACAGTCCTGATGGCAGGGAACCTTCCAGAAGAACCAGTGTGAATCAGCACTGTAGCGGCAGCACACACACATACCCTCCCTACTTGGAACTAAACATGGTGGGGCCGGGAGTACCCTGGACCCAGGCCTCAGTCTGGCCTGCCCAGAGCTGGGTCTGTAGGTGTCTCTTTTCCCCTTGCTCAAGAACAAGTGAGACATCAGTTTCCCCTCAAGTGTAACGATTTTCACACACAATTGCAACATCACCACTCAGCAGTCCCTCACAGAGGACCAACCACATGCATGTCACATGGAGGGAATGATTAGGACAAGTGTGGCTATAGAATAGCAGGACTGACTTCCTCTGGAATTAAGACCAACTGCCTAATGGGCAAAAACTGGTTCCTCTTAGCATTCCTAGTTCCTTTGTAGGTGGGTACCTGGCAGAGGGCAGGGACTCAGGAAACATGTGTCCTCCCACCTGGCACCAACTCCGCTGTGAGGCCTAAAGAGGTCCCAGCTGCCCTCGTAACTTCTAGTTGGCCGCATGAGATAAGTGGAAGGATGAGCATCATAGAGCACACCCTGAGGCAGGAAAGAGGACTCATCTAGTCACATCACTTATTAGCTTAGCTTTCAGTTGTGGCTTTTTTGGTGACCCCTCACATACATACTTCATCCTCAACTTCATCTACATTTAAAAAGAAATGATTGAGCAGCACTGGGACTTATCAGGCTGGGATATACAGCCAGAAGTTTGTGAGGATATGGGCAGATCAAGGAGGACAGGGTCATTTTTACAGGCAAGGAAAGGGACACCTCCACCCTCCGTGGTGTCTGTACCCATTTGTGGGTCAGGGAGAGGGAGAAATAGTGGCAGACAAGAACAGTAGATGGGTCTAAACTATCTGTCCCATCCCCACCACACTTTTTCCTCCTAGAGAAGGAGCTAAAGTTGCTTCGGCAAGAGAATCGCAAGAACATGCTGCTCTCTGTGGCCATCTTCATCCTCCTGACCCTCGTCTACACCTACTGGACAATGTGAGCTTGAGATTTCTCCACAGCCAGCACAAGCTTCCCGTCACTCCTTGGTCAAGACCAAGTAGGCCCTTCAAGCCTCAAGAGGACCAAGGTGCTGGGGACATTTCTCTGCCCCCGCCCAGGCGTTCAAGCATGGCCTCCTGTTGGCCCAGCCCCTCCTGCCTTCGTGGACTGCTGTGGGACCTGAGTCTCCAGAAGACATGGTGCTGGCTCCTCCCTCAGCCCAAGGGAGAGGCAATAAAGAACACCAGGCTACTGCTGTCTACTGAGTAAACGTCATGGTATGACTGCAGCTGGGGATGGCAGGGGCAGCACTCTGGAACCAAGGAAGAAGAGGTGTTCAAGGGAAAGCTCTTGGCTTAGAATTCAGAAGGGAAGGAGAAGCGGGAGCTGTGAAGGCAAGCCCCCAGCTTAGGTAGGAAATGAGACAGTGGGAAGCACTTTCCAAGCCAAAACTGTGCTGGGAGCCACTTCCAAGGCTCAGACAGTGCTGGGTCTGAGAAGCAGACACTGTTCCACCTGTCCATCCCCCCACCAAACAGTCAGTGCCCTCTAGTCAATGCCATGTCCTGTAATTATGGAAGAAAAAAATGCAGCCTGTGCAGCAAAGGGCGACTTGGGGACTTAAAAGTCATATGGAGGTTCCAGGGGAGTGTAGAGTTCATTCATCTTCGAGAGGCACACAGGGCTGGTGAGGCCTGTGAGTGGGCAGCAACAGCCATGGTAATGACAGACAGACTTGTGGTGACAGTAGCCAGTAAATCAGGTGGGCTTTGCAGTGAGAAGTGGTAGGGGTGGGAATGATTGGAGGGGGAGCTGGAGGCAGGAGCAGCAAACACATCTGTCACCCACCACCCCTGAGCATACCCCCCAAGTCTACTCAGCATGGGGGCCAGGAGGGGAGGAGGGTGGGAGGCAGCAGCAACAGAGAAGAGTGACAAAAGATGGCTGAGATGAAACCAATTAAAATAAGTAAAAACAAGGAAAGAAGTTGCCCAGGGAGCAAAGGCTGTGAAACATCAAGGCAGGATCCTCAGGGCCACAATGGAGGAGGCCAACAAGGTGCAGGCAGGCTTTAGGGGAAAACCAGCACCAGTGTGATGAACTGGTGGAGAAACCAGCCTGAGGTGCAGAGTCAGCAATCTGCAAGTTCCTACTGCTAAGCGTAGCCCTCAGTGCGGGCAGAAGCTGCCCTGGCCTCCTCAGATGGTGGCTGGCCAGAGGCAGCAAAACCATCTCTCCCTCCTTTCTCCCCCAAGTCGTGTCACTAATTGGTCTGACGCCTGTTATTTTAGTCATACAGACTGATCCTGGATTGTCACAGTGCCACCATGGAGTGAGCTGTGTGATTTATGTAAGTGGGGGAGGTGCCTCCCCACCCTCCTGGGGCTGTAGGTTCATTCATTCTCCTGGCCCTGCTTGTAACAGGGCCGCATTACTTATATTCTTTGTGCTCCCTCTCTCGCAGCAAGCAGCAGCCCCGGGAGCCCTGCCGGGGCCTAGGAGTCTGGACAGACTCGAATTAAACAAACCCTCTTTTCTCTCCTCTTTCAGTAGATCTTCCTCCCCTTCACCTCTGACCTAAGCTGTTTCATCCAAGCCAGTCCCAGACCACAAAGCACTGAGGACAAACGGCAGCAGCCCCAGCACAGGGCCACACAGGCATTAAAAATATGTTTATCTTTAATGATCCAAGATTCTGCAAGACACACTGACATACCCAGAATTGGGTGGAAATACAGCATCTCAGCAGTGCTGCTGCTAGCCTGGGAGCAGGGACTGGATGCTGGCTGAAGGACCCCCATGGTGGAGTCAATTCCAACCTCACGGGAGCCTCAGTGCCCCATCTCCATGGAAACCAGTCTGGCACTGGGATGAGACCCTATGGAGCCCGCATAAACATTTCTGAGAGGTATTTCCCATTAAAAACAACCACAGGTGCCCTCCCCCACCCAAAGCTACTGCCCAGCTTTCCATTCTCCTTATCCACCTCCATCAAGGTAGAGGAAATGGAGTGACCACATATGGACAAACAAAAGCAGACTACCTCCTACTGGGGAAGAAAAACAAAGGAAGGGAAAGGATAGCAAGAAGCTACCTCTAGCTCAGAATTCTGCCAAGACCCCAGGGTGGCTACGGCAGATGGTGGTACATGACCTCCAGAGGGCCGGTGCTACCCAAACCCCTGGGGGTACCCTTATTAGTTACTGGTGGGGGAGAGAAAAAGGCAGGTCTTCAAGGCTGCTTCTTGAGCTGCCCAATATTTGAATCAAATGGGGATGAGGCCCAGGGATGCTCTACAACCCCGGGTGGCAGTCAAACCCAGTGCCAAAAACAGCACTACCTGGGTCCCTATGTGCTGTCAGGGAGTGGGGCCCACACTCCTTCCTGGCCTGCGGGACTGTCAGAATTCCAGGCTGGGAAGAACTCCAGGGAAGGCCACGATGGGTGTGGGGAAGAGACAAACTCTTCTCCAACTGAGCATCAAAACCAAGCAAGTTCAAAGAAACTAAGCCTTGATTTGTACAGCAGCTGCTCCTGGCCAGCTCACGACAGTGGGCCTCCACCCACTCAGAGTTGGCCCAATAAAAAGCTGGGCAAAGCAGGGGCACGGCCACCCTCAGGGGCAGTGCATGGAACTCAGAAAAGTGAGTCTATTGGATACAGGAGAGAACAACAGAGCCCAAGGCCCTGCCACTTTGACATGTCCTCCACCAGCCCCATGTGCCCTGGGCACTGACCTCAAACCTGCCACAGGAGCAGCTTCCTTCAAGCTGAGTCCTGGCAGGGGAAACAGTTCCCAGGCAGAAGGTGACCCAGAAGGAGTGTCCTCTGAAGGCCCCTGACTGAGCTCTTCAGGACATGGAGAGGAGGCCACTCACCCCTGATGGCCACGCTGCAGTGCTCCCCAGTCTCTTTCTAAGAGGGAGAAGAAACTGTGGGCCCCAGGGACAGAGTGTCCTGTCTCGGAATGACAGGGCTTTCAGCAGGGGTGGGGTGTCCCAAGGCCCTCAGGCACTGTGCATCTGGATGAAGGAGAGGACATCTTCCTTGGACAGCTTTTCTGGGTCCTGGGGCTTCTGGGAGTCGTGCACACGGATGCCATCCCCCCACTCCCAGAAGAGCCGGCCATAGTAGCAGATGCTGGGAAGAAGGGCAAAGGGAAAGAGATCACAGGGCTGCATCCAGGTGACGCAGGACAAAAAGATCAACACCACCACCCCACCACTGGCAACAATGAGATGGGGATGGGTGTTCTTAAGAGTGGTAGGAGTCTTCTTTTGGCAGCCAAAAGATACCCAGTTGGCCCCAGCAACTCGATGCCTCCCAGAACCAACTTTTCCCAAACGGCTGCTGCTGCTAATTGCATCCAACTGGATTCCTATAATTACTGAGATTCCTGGTTTATCTGTCTGTACTTCTCTAATACAACAGTATTAGTGTGGTGAAAGAAACAAGTGTCAGTGGCTAATTACAGGCACATAAGGGCTGTTGTCAAAACCTCTGACAATCTGGCAAAAGGATGCTGAGTCCCAACGAGGGACAGCTGGGACCTTGAGTCCCAAGGGTCAGGGTTGCAGGCCTTCAGCATGTTCCCACCACAAGGCCAGTGTTGGAACATCATGCAAGCAGTTGCTGCTCCATGGGGCAGATGCCCTGGGCCTGGTTGGGGCCCTTCATACCCAGATCCCCCAACCATCACAGCAGGTCCAGGCATCTTTCTCCTCTCACCAAGCTTACTACCCAGGCCCAGCCACACCAACAGAGGTCACCATCCCCACCTTTGTGGCGAGGAGGGTGTTCCCAGTAGGAACAGAACTCAGCCTATCAGTCTCATGAGCCAGGTGTGCCCAGGAAAGCTGGCTGGCATCCTGGCAGGAGTATTTGGGGCTGCTGAGGAGGGCAGGCTTAGAGGAGGGCTACTTACTGAAATGGGGCAATGGAGTCTGCAGGGAGGTCGAAAGTGGAGATCTTGGTTTTCTTGTTGTGGAAGAATTTCTTCTTGAAGCTTTTGCTGAATCCCATAGTCCACGGCTCTGACAGGAGGAAGAGGGGAGGAAGCCCAGAAAGAACACAGTACCCATGGCTGATGGATCCGGCCGACATCGGGGTGTGCCTTCCTCAGCTCCTGTTCACCATTCCCAGCTCCCCACAACAGCAGATGGGTAACAGCCCGTGAGGAGGCAGCCTTCATCACCAGCCCAAAGGGGCTCCAGGAGGACAACTAAGGTAATTCTCAATGACCACACCCCAGTCCTGCCAACCAGCTAACATCTCTAGGATTCTGACAGAGGACATAGGTCTCTGTAAGCCAGAGAGCACTGAAGAAAAGGGATTCTACAAGACATACAAATGGACAGTTGCCAAGCTTGACTTTCTGGATCTGCTGCTGCCTACTGAGAAGGCCCTTTTCCTGCCACAAGAACACCATGAGTGTCTATACAAGTTAAGGTCCTCTTGCCCCATCCCCAAACCCAACACCCAGTGCCCACTAAAGAAAAGAGGCTCGAGGAACACAGAAATGCCAGTCTGGCTGCTACCCACCTTAGTAGGGAGCCCTGGGCACTGGCTCAGGCAGGGTCTGGGCCAATCACCCTGGCTGGGGGAGGGGGGGCAGCAAACAGTCACTCATCACCCACCATTCACTGTCCTGACGATGTAGAGGCCTGTGGGTACAAAGTGCCGGTCGTCCCGCCCCGTGTAGCTGAGCTTCGGGGTTCCACCAGAGCCTTTGATGATCTTCATTTCTAACCTGATTTCCCCATGTAGTTGTGCACAGAGGAGTGAAAATGTGTGTGCATGTGGGGGGTGTGGGGAGAGAGAAAGAAAGCCCTAACGTTAGTCTCTGGCTAATATCAAAATCACACCAACTACAGTATTTTATCCTGGCTTGACATAAGAAGAAACTGAGGGACAGAGATTTAAGTGAGTTGTTTCAAGCCACACGGCAAGTGAGTTAGTGGCAGTGCTGGATTTAGAACTCAGACTCTGATCTCCCAACCAAGCAATGGAGACGGGAGTGACAGATGACCCTGCTGTGTAACTGCTGTTTGGGGAGTTTCAGGGTGACACCAGTAAGGTAGAGATCTGAGACCATGAATGCCACTGGGTCTTCAGTCTACTGTCCATGGCATCACTGTGGCCACTAAAGAGTTAACAGTAACCACCTCCAGAAGAGAACTGAGACCCGGAATGAGACTCAGATCTGAGAGCACCCTGCACAACCCTAAGAATACAAAGAAGCATTTATGCCCCCTCTCCCCCTCCAGGCTC